TCTTGGTACACGATGTAACTACAGAAGAGTCATGTTTTAAATAGGAAAAATATAGAAACTCTTTGGTCTTTTTTGAGCGAGATGCTAACGGTCTAATCAGATTCAATGATCTATGCTAAGCTACAGCTAAAAGTGCTACCGCCAGACCCGGAGATCGGCTGAACGGATTCGAAAACGGTAAAACTCAACTGTTTAACTCTAGGGGAGATGGAAAATGAGCCTATTTTCAAAAATAGTGGAGTGTTCCTTTAAGGCTTTGTTCAGACAGGAAGGAAAATGTATTTATTTGTATTTTTTATTTTCTGGCATAATACAAAACAATGACAAAGCAGAAAACCATGTGAAGCCAATTCACATTTGCATGTGCTTTGAAAATGAATTAAAATCTGATTAGAAATGGCTCCCAGTGTGAACAGTGTGTCAAATCAGGTTTTAGAGTGTTGCATGTATGCCAATCCATATGCAATGCGCAAGTAATGACTGAGTGAAAATTTGTGAATTTAAACTGAGTTAAAGAAGATTTATCATGACGGACATGAGCAGATTCAGAAGTTTCTGTGCTCTCAAAAACGACAGCTACTTTCGAGTTAAACTTTGACAGCATGTTCTATAGAAAAACAATTTCCACCACGGAATAAAAAAATATAAAAGGTCATTGTGAGGTCATTTCACAATCCTGACTTTTTTTTTTTTGTAATTCTAAGAAAAAAAAAGAAAAAAGACTTCTGAGAAGAAAAGTCTGAATTGTGATATATAAACTCACAGTGAGAAGAAACAAATCTGAAATGTGAGATAAAAAGTTGCAGTTACCTTTTCATTTGTATTCTATATTTGCAAAATAATAAAGAAATGGTGGAGTGTGGATGCTTTAAAAAGCCAAATGCATATAAACATATGGTCTGCAATCAGTGCAGGCAGTGACTCACAGTGCCAGGTCTGGTGAAGTCCACGCTCTGAGCTGCACTCTGTCTCATGTGACCGCTGAAGAGCCGCATGCACACACCCTGCAGGTACTCTGGGGAGATCTGCAAAACATCAGCCATATCCCCTGAGCATTTCAGGAGAACTTTGGTCATGCGTAATTATCTGCATTGCTGGAGTTGTGCACATAATGTGTGAGCTGATGTTTGCTTGCCATCTTTCCGCGGACTGTGGCCTCCAGCGAATCCACCAGCTCGGCTGTGACGCCGATGAGGCTGTGATGGTCGGCCTGCAGCTTAGCGAATCTCCTCATGTGGATGGCCGACTTCCTTTCCGCCTCGGTCAGATGGAGCTGCATTTGCTGAATCGCTTCTGGGAGACAACACACACAAACAGTCAAATAAGGGGCTGGTGAACACGCATGATGCAAAAGAGCCACATTAACAACTTCTGAGAGTGACGGTGCATTTGGCCTACGATCAGGGTTCAAAAGGAACACAAAAATCTGATTTTCCTCAGGTTATGTTACAAACATGACAATATTTAGAACAAAAAAAGTCTATTTTTCGTTTGGTGGCAGTTTGCAAGGTTAACAGCTAATTAATCCCAGCTAATTAGGGACAAAATTATACATACTTTATTTAAAATATGAAATTACACAATGCTATCTGTTATTATATTAAGATAAAACAAATGTAATTATTACCCACAGTAACTTGTAATCATGATTTACAATGTGACTGGAGATTCAGGATTAAAGCTACTTCCCATATTTTGTGAACTGATATTTTTATGACTTTTATTTTGTTACAAAAATACATTATATAAGTTATATCACATTACAAAATCACAACATTTGTGTAACAGGGCATTTTCACAGAGACATAATATGTTAATAAAACAGCTAAATAATACAAAATACTATATATGATCAAATAAAAAAATATTTAAATTATTTATTTACATTTTTATATTATATTATATTATGATGAAACAAGTTTAATTATTACCCATTTTATGTTTTTTTTAATTCATTATTTTTAAAATGATTATTTAATTGATATCATGTTAAAAATATTTAGAACAAAATCACAACATTTGTGTAACGGCATTTTCACAGAGACATAATATGTTAATAAAACAGCTAAATAATATAAAATACTATATACGATAAAATGATAAATATTGTAATTATTTATTTAAATAATTGCATTATATTATATTATGATGAAACAAGTTTAATTATTACCCATTTTATAATTTTTAAATTCATTATTTTTTAAAATCATTATTTAATTTATTTTATGTTCAAACATATTTAGAACAAAACAAAACGTTTTTGTGATAAAGACAGTTTTTGTGTTTGACAGACACATAATACCCAAGGAAAATTACTAAATAATGCCAATATTAGAGACAAAATTATACATATTTATTTTTATTACATATTTATTGCACATCTAAAATGTGCATACATTATTATATGAAGATAAAAAAGTTATTGTTACCCATGTAATGTGTAATTGTGATTTACAATGTGACTGGGTATTAGGGATTAAACCAATACATTTTTATGACTTATTATTTTCAAAAACCATTATTTAATTTATATCACATTATGCCACCAATATATACTGTATATTTAAATAATGAATTAAATTATTGTATTATAGTATTTGAAAATGAAACAAATGTAATTATTCCTCAAAGCAAAGTGTAATCATGATTTACAATGTGACTGGAGGTTCAGGATTAAAGCTACTTCCTCTAAATGCCACACCCTGTGACTTTTTATTACTTTTCCAGTCATTTGTAATTAATATATTTAAATAAATATATTTTTTATCAATCTTTATGATTATTTTCAAAAATCATTATATATCAAGTATTTAGAGCAAAACTGTAATTTTCTGTGACTGGTGTTGTTTCATATGCAATAAAAACAGCTAAATAATAAAATTAATAAAAATTAGGGACAAAAATATACATGTTTAATTAAATATTCAGTTAATTATTATATTATAATTTAGTACATTTTGTATCATGCCTACAATGCTACGGTAACAATGTAGGAACTGCGTCAGAATAGTTCACCTTTGTTGCCCTTTCCACCTTCGTTCTAGTTTCGTGGTGTTTAGGAGTCATGCCAAAAAGTCATTGTTCATTTTGATGGTTTAATGTCAACGAGTGTCCCTGCCCTCAAACTACATCAAGCAAAAACATCCCAGTTTGCTCATCAAAAACAACATTCACAGGACTCGTGTTCACACTCCACAGCCCATGGTTCTGACATAATATTAACACATGTGCATTTTATGACAATGCACAATGAATTTTGGCCCTTGCGATATTTAATTATTACCCACAGAAATGTGTAATCAAGATTTACAATGTGACTGGAGATTCAGGATTAAAGCCACTTCCTCTATAGCAGTGTTTCCCAACCTTTTTTTGGCCACGGCACAGTTTTGATCAGTAAAACATGCCACGGCATATTAAAACTGGATATTATATTAAAAGCCACAGTACCAACTCTGACGATGCAGTGTTGAATTATTTAAAAAAAAAAGGATTTTTTTTTCTCCGCTCTTCAATCACACACACA